ATTATGAAAGATTTCAATTTGAAATCTCTCATTACTAAAAAAAAACAAAAAAAAAAGGGAAAAAAAAACTTTGACTTGCAATAAAAAAAATTAAAAAAGTAAAAACACTATTTTGTGCAGAATTTTATGCTGATTATTTTAGCCGAAAAAAAATTAGATTACCTTTTGAAAAAATTAAAAAAAATGAAAAACAAATTTGCTACCAGCCAAAAAAAAAAGACACCTAATTCCGGATAGAGGTAGTTATTATTTTATGTACCTAAAAAAAAATAATAAACAAATTAGCCTGCAGCAATAAACAAATACACTTTTGAGTCCCGGATACAGTTAACTACAATTGGCTATTTTATTTTTTATCACTTTCATGCACATAATATAATATATTATGTTCATTAAAGTAATGAAAAATAAAATAGCCACAAGGGAAAAAATAATTGACACTAATCCAGATACAGCTATTTTTTTAGCATCCATAAAGTTAACGCATTTGTGTTAATTGTATTACTGTATTAAAGAATATGGATAATTTTAAACAAAAAGAAGAGCGAGAGAGTCGAATCCAGCTAGCTATTCAAGCTATTACTGAAAAAAAAAAGTTATACGTACAAGCTGCTAAGTGTTATAATGTGGCAAAACCCACACTTTTTGACAGAACAAAAGGATTATATAATCGAGGAGCTCCAAGAAATATGAGCAACGTCACTGAAGCTATTATTGTTGATTTATTAAAATTTATGAGTGATATAGGCTTGGGCTTGAATAGAAAAGACATGTTTATTTTTGTTGAAAACTATTTAAAAGAATCAAACCAACATAGTCTATTCAAAGATGGCAAACCGACTAGAAAATTATTTACCTCATCAAATAATTTATAAAGGCAAACATGTTATGAAAGGCTGGTGCAATGGCAGTGCCCAGAATGTTTATTATAACAGTAGTAGTTCAGGCTGGATGGAATCTGAACATTTTTTGTCGTGGTTTGAAACAGTTTTTTTGCCTCGCGCAAACAAACTTACAGAATTTAAAGTTCTAATACTTGATGGTCATTCTTCACATATGAGCTTAGATTTGAAAAAAAAAAGCTTTAAAAAATTATATTTTACTTTGGCGTTTGCCAGCTTATACCAGCCCTTTTTTACAGCCACTAGATATTGGCTTTTTTAAAACAGTAAAAGACGCATGGAAGAGAATTGTCGAAACTTATTTGTCTAAAAATCACTTTCAAAGCCTGACTAATTGACATTTTCTGGCCAAGTTTTAGGATCTCATCCAAAATGGTGGGTTTAAACCTGAAAATGCACGGAGCTGTTCAACAAGTGGGCAAAGATATGAACAAATCAGTGTTAAATATGCTTCAAGATCAATTGATACCAACTCTAAATAAAAGAGTTCAAAAAAGTGAGAGAATAAAGCGACCAGCTAATCATAATATGACTTCGACGGATGCCATAGTTTACGATAAAGCTGAACAAGCATCAAAAAAACAAAAATTAGATGAACAAGCTGCAAAGAAATTTACTAGAGAACAAAAAAAGATATCCACTGCTACTCAAAAAACAAAAAATGCACAGAAAAGAGAAGAAAAAAAAAAGTTAAGACAAAGTCAGTCATCTAAAATACCAGCTGAAAAAGGTATAAAGACGAAGAATCAATTAGAAGACCCTCATTTTCCTTAAGCTTCAAATAACATTTTACTATCTGATGATTTTCTATGTTATTCTTGCGAAATTAATTGGACAAATAACTTAGATAACCAATGGCTTGCGTGTGAGCAGTTATCAAATTGGTCATGCATTGAATGTGTCTTTGATTATCGTCCAACCATGGAATTTATTTGTAACGAATGTGTATAAAATAATATATATTCTTTTTTTATTAAACGATTTCATTTTTTTAATGGATTAAAATAATTATTTTAATGTTAGTATTATTTGTGTATGTATTTTTCTGTATTTTATACGCATCCGGAATTAGGGACATGAACACCTAATTCCGGATAAAAACATTATTTTTTAAAAATAAAATAAATGAGATTTATATTGCAAAAATAACATTTTTTATATTTCTTGTTATGAAGTTTATTTATTTAAAAAAATTATTTCAAAATTCTTTATATTGAGCTAGTTATGACAATTTAAGTCCTAAACCATCCGGAATTAGGGGTTGTTACAGTATCCAATTTAAAAATATTATATAAAACACTTTTTACTAAATTTAATAAAGTTTGTTCTTTTATTAAACCAATTATTAGTATTAATTTTTTACTTAATTTAAAAACGTTTTGCATAACTTTATTAACGCTTAAAAAGATAAGCTTTAATAACGTTTATTTCATACGTAATTAAAAACATAATAAAAAGTTTTGCTTAGAGTTCAAGTTTTTATTTTCATTTTAGTACTTATATAATTTTTTTTTCGTTATGAATTTCTTTTTCGTTTCTTTTTTCGTTTGGAATTTTTTTTTCGTTAGTTTTTTTTTTTTTCCTAGTTTAAGTTTAGCTTAGCATTTCTATATTCGGAACATTTCTTAAATTTTAAACTCATCAAAATATAAAAACATTGTTTATTAAACAATCATGGTCAAGTTGTCAAAAAATAAAATCATTTACGTGGTCAGCAATAGCGCTCGATTGCATGCCATTCCTCTCCAAGCCTATATATATATATATATATATATATATATATATATATATATATATATATATATATATATATATATATATATATATATATATATATATATATATATATATACAGGCTTGGACGGGAATGGCGTGCGATCGGACACTGTGTTTGACCACGCACATAATAACAATGTTTTGACAATAAAACCACGGTTGCTTTGATGTTTTGACTAATAAATACGTTTTTTCGGCCTATGGGAAATGCGTTAAAAAAACCAAACTAAATTAAATTATAGAGAACAATTTAAAAAATATGTATTTTTTTTTTTTTTTTTTACATATTTCCAACAAAAGAAGAGAAAGCAAAACTAAAACTGTAAAAGTACAAACTCAAAGCGACAATTATTTTAAGTTATGTTAGTTAACGTTAGAAATAAATGACTTTTATCTTTTGTTACTTTATTTTTTGCAAACAAGTTAAACTATTGAATCGCTTCATTGCTACAACGTTTAGGTCTTTTGTTGTTGTCAGGCTGAGCGTTAATACATTTTTCCAGCAAGAGTTCAGTCATAGCTAGACCGCTAAATAAACGATCTAAAAGCGTCAGAATTCGGCTGTTATACCTTGATATATATTTTTTTAATCAAGTCCGTTGGTTTATTGATCAATAAGCCTTATATTATAAATTTATATTTCTTCTTAGTTGCATTTTTTGAATCCGATAAATTTTGTTATGTATCGGAATAATAATTATTTAATAACATTTTTCTTAATTTAAATTTTGTTTAACAATTAATTCGTCACTTTATTTATAAGTGCTTCACACTATAATTTTTAAGTTTTTTAATAAAGTTTCAAACTTTTTGATGTCGTAATTTAAAGTATTTAATAAAATATTCATTTAAAAGATTCATAAACATCTCAAGACAAAAAAAATACTTTTTAACTTTTACATTTATCATACACTTTTATCATAAGCACTTATCATGCAAATTGTTAGTTCTCTCTTGCGGAGATTCTCATTAAACATAACGGCGTAAACATTAGACGTTACTCTTTAAGAGCAAAGAGAGCCAATGCTTTTAACGTAAAAGCATTGGTTCTCATGCGCAAAGATTTTAAAGAGTAACGTCTAATGTTTACTTGGTTATGTAATTATTTGACAAGGAATTAGTTCAACTTAGCGTGATGGTAGACTTTGTGGATGGAAAAAAATGTTACAAATAACATTTTAAAATATTTTTTTAAAAAGTCTAATTAAAATAATCGTTACAAACACTTAGTAGATTTATTTTGAAGCGTTTCGCATGTTTAGTTAAAAAAAAATTATTAATTCCTACCATTTATCAGAAACAAAATATTCGTTTAAAAGATTTAAAATAAAAACATGGAAAGGTATATTCTAACGTTTACATTTAAAAAAAAAGCATGCTTATAAATATAATAATAGAAAAAAACTTTGATATTCTCTGGTGATATAAACAAAATGAAAGTAATCCTTAGAAGTAATTTTCACGTTGTTTAAATGCCCTCACATAATATACAAACTTAAGCAAAGATGATCTTTGTGAACGAATAATCTCAAAACGTTTTGAACGAAGATCTTAAAGATCGTCGTTCATAAAGTTTCAAGCTTATTCATTCCTTTTGTAATAAAAATTCGCTCAAAAAATAATCCTTGAAAAACAAAATATTCGTTTGAAAGATTTAAAATAAAAACATAAAAACTACTTTTAAGCGTTAGAAAACAAACTTAAATAAAAGTTTCGTATACGTTTTCGTAATAATAGTTTGTCTATTTTAAGCAATCTTTTGAAGTAATTTGTTATTTTGTTTAAAGGTTTCCACATAATATAAAAACTTTGAAAAAGATCAACGATTAAAAGTTATTTCGTAAATTTTACTAGTTTCTTTCGACGCATTTCTGAAGCGTTTTATTTGTCAAAGCAACCGTGGTTAAATTGTCAAAAAAAATCATTGTTCCCATGGTCAAACAAAGCGCGTGATCGCATGCCATTCCCGTCCAAGCCTGTATATATATGTGTGTGTGTATAAAATATTTCAAATGGAAAAATGATTTTATTTTATTACAAAACTCATTTTTTTTAAAATTTCTTTAAAAATAAATTAGTTAAAATAATTGAAAGTTATGATAAATTTTTTAAGATTTAAAAATACTGTTTAGTTTTACTTACATTTACTCTATTGAGTAGATAACTATTAAAAATTGCTTTAACACTAAGCTAGATACCGTGAAATAGGTTTATAATCGAAGTAATTATTTTTTATTACAAGTTTTTACCTTTTAAAGTTTTTTTTATTTTTTTTTATAGATTGAATTTTTTAAATAATGATTAAATATTTTTTTAATTTAGAAAGAACAGCAGGATTTGATATTTCAAATTTTGAAGTTTACTGCTCTTCTTATTGAGCATTCATATGCTAGGCATCTATATAACTCAATGGAGGTGAGAATCTATCAGGTTTATTAAATTATATTTAAACATTTGTTTTATTTTCTATTTATGAGTTAATTGTATTTTTATTTCAATTTTAAGCACTTGGTTTCACTGTTAGATTGCGTTGATGGAAATCTTATCCTTTCAGTATTAAATCTTATCTATGTATTCAGTAAACGCTCAAATTACTTATCTAGGCTATCATCTGAGAAGAAAAAAATCCTTCAAATAAAGCTTTCTAATTTAGCTCAGGTGAAATAATTCATGTATTTAGTTATTCATAATTTCTAATAGTTTATATATGCTAAAATTATTTTTAGTTTACTTGCTAGATGTTGTTTTTATGTTTAATTCAGCTTTTTTCATAAAAAATTTAAAGAAACTTAATTTTGTTGTTGCTTTTGTTATTGTTTATATTTTAAACTATAACCAAAAAGCAAAACCTTTTTTTGAAACATTTTTTAATTTTTTAAATAAAAAAATCATATAATCTTATAAAGTATTTAAATGCAATATCTCCCTAACCAGAGTTCTAAGTATTTAAATGTTTATCTCCCTAACTAGAGTCTCATTTATTTAAATGCTAATCTCCCTGACAAAAGTCAGACTCTTAAGTGTTAAAAACATAAGTGTAAAAGAAATAAAGATGTTTTAAATTTATTTTATCACCATTTTAAACAAAATGCATGACTTAAGTTATTTTTTATTTATTTTAAAAATCAGTTACGAAACTATATCAGTAAGCTTTTTATTTAAAAATAGTTTTTGAAATTATGCTAATAATTTGATGTTTTATTAAATCAAATTATTTGTTATAATATTATTGGTTGCTCTTCAAGTCATGTTTCCAAAAATCCTTCAAATAAGATATTTATTTGCTCTTCAAAGTTTTCATATATATGTAATTAAAAAAGTACAGAAAATAGGGGCATTATTTTTTACTATTTTGTCTCTGATGTCAATCCCTCGATTGATGGATTGATTCTAAGTTATTTTTTTATTATTATAAAATGTTTAAATTAATTATTAATAAGCATTTTTTAATTGTTAAATAAAAATTTTTAATGCTTATAACTGAGTTTACATTAGTAAGTGAAATAAAGTTTATAGTATATTATAAAATAAATAAAATTAATAGTATAATATATAAGTATAATATATAATATTAGTAAGTAGTATAAAAATTACTTATAATGTATATAATAAATTATATATATATATATATATATATATATATATATATATATATATATATATATATATATATGTGTGTATATATATATATATATATATATATATATATATACACATATATATATATACATATATATATATATAAAATATACAGGGCGCGACAAATCGACGAACGTGCGAACGTTTGTTAAAAAAAAGACAGAAAAACGAACGTCACGTTTCCTTACTTTTACTTAAGCAAACGTTGGCGTTCGCTTAAATTTTTTAAAAACGAACGCATATATTCAGCAATTTTTTATTTCTAAATAATTATGCGATTAATAGTTTTTTATTTATTACAAAAAAAACATAATTAATATAAAAAAATGTTACTAAAATTTAAAACGCAGTTTCAATGACATTAAAAGAAACCGCGCTAATACTTTCTTCAATAGCGTTTTTTTAAAATATGCAACTGTAGAAAAAATTATATTTAGCATGGTTTTTACATGCGTTTACAAAAGAATGGCAAGTTTAACTTAAAATGAATGCATTTGCTATTACATTAAACAGAACTATGCTAAAACATTCTTTTTCCATAGGCGTACTTTTTTTAAATTTTCTTATCATTAAATTTATGTTTACTTGCTGTTTTTAAAGTTTTAAAAAAAATTTGCAGAAATATATAAAATTTAATAGATTTTATAGAACTATTATGTTGATTATAGTTTTCATTTTTTACTGTGCGTTTAACAACAACCAATAATATAATATTTTTTTATTAAATACTTAATGTTATAAATATAATAATAGCATATCAGGTATTTGATAGTAACTTATTAAATTATAAATTTAATAACTTATTAAATGCTTAATACTATATTATTATTTTTAAATATTTAAAAAATAAAAATATCAAAATAACTTTTGTTTTATTTTTATATAGTTCCCTTATATTTAAATTTTATCAAGTTTATATCTTTTTTTATAATTTAACAAACTAAATTGAGAAAAATTCACTATTTTGTATTAATAGATAACAGTTTACAGTGAAAAGTTTATTGCATATTAGTTATCATTAATTTGTGCATACTTTGCAAATGCATGAAAAATTCTTTTAAATTAATAAAAGTTGATAAAATTCGATAACTATCTTTGATATATCTAATTATTATATATCTTATTAACTATAATAAAATTAATTTGAAAATAAAAGTCCCTTATAATTAAATAAAAAAATTATTAAAAAAAAAAAAAATTAAAGAAGTTAAAATGAAACTGGCTTATTCTGGCCGACACATGGGTTCGAAGTGGAGGTGCGCAACCATCTATTAATGAAAAAAGTCCTCTATATCTTGAATTTCTCTTAAATAAAAAAAAATATATAAAAAATTTTTTAAAAAAAGTGTGTATGTGTGGAGGGAAGGGGAGGTGGATATTTGACATACCTCTTAAATTAGACGTTCGTCAATAAATAAAGAAACGAACGTCAACGTTTATTAAAAAAAAACGGTTTTACGCGCCCTGATATATATATTATTTATATATATATAAAATATATATATTATTTATAACAAGGCCGGCGAAATTCTTGTGTGACATCACCCCCATCAATGATTTTTTCGTTCATTTAGTCTGCAAATTTGACCTTTTTTACTCTTCAGTCAGCAAATGTTGACTTTTTTAACAAGTTAGTTGGTAAACTCAGAGAGTCAGTTGGCAAATGTTGGTAAGGCAGTTGGCAAATTTTAAAAAACAAGAATCTTTTTTTTTTTTTTAGTCAGCAAAAGTTGTCTTGGCAATAGTTTTGTCAGCAAAAGTTGTCTTGGCAAAAATTTTAACCATCATCTTCCTTCTAGGAAGGGGATGGTTAAAATTTTTTTGAAAAAATTTTTTTTTGACCATTTTCTTCCCAAAAGGAAAAGAATCAAATGAAGCTCTTCAATCATTGTCTGTCTTTAATTCTGACACAGAAGAGTTGAAAAATTTCTTTATGTATAAAGAAGGAAAACAATTTAATGTAAAGGTGATAGTTCAGTCATATATGATTGGTATAAAAGCAGCAAATCTTTTTTTCAGGAGTTTGAGGTGCATATTGTGATCATGTGCACATGCACATAAGATCAGTGTTTGAAAGAATTGAAAATGGTTTTGTAATCAACTAAGACACTATAACTATGAATAAATTATTTGATAATAAATAATATTAAGATTGATACATACTGGACTCTCATGAAACTTTCTCAAGCACTTTCCGTTCTATAGCACTTTCGGTTCAAAAGTTACAAACCAATGTACACGAAAACAGCTGTTTGGCCCACTGTGCATTAATTTGTAATTGTCATTTCTTTAACATAACATCTCATATTTAAATATTTTCTTATAATTTTTTTCATTTAGCAGAGTTTAAAATAGCGTAAGTTGCTGTTTTAATTTACAGCTTAAGTTATAATTTAAGTTAAGTTAACTGCAACTTAAAGTTGTTACCATAATTGCAGTTAAAGTGTGATAAACAAATGGTAATGTAATAAGCAAGTAATGTATTTAATACTATTACAATATTATTTTTAGAATAATATTGTAATAGTATTAAATACATTAAAATTTATTTTCCAATTTATTTTTGTTTCATATTTCAATTGCAAAATTATTTTAATAAGAGAATTTTAGAAAACTAAAATGTTTTGTTCAAATAAATTTCTTTTTAAATAAATTTCTAAAAACAACTTGCTTATTTATAGAAAATGTTTAATCTTGATATCGTTTTAAATAAAATAAAAATGTAAAAAAATGGTATTGTGTTTTTATATTCTATTCAAGATTTCTTGTTATAATGATTTTTAGTTAGAACCTTGTATGTGTAAACAACATGTAAGATATAAATAAAAACATTTGTATGGCTAACTTTTTTGAGTTTTTGAGTATATTAAGTAAATTCAACTACTTGTTTTGATTTAGTTTAGAGGTAAATTTTATGCAATGTACTTTATCCATTCAGTAAATCAAACTAAATATAGCTTTAAAATATTATCGGCTTCCATGCAAAGCAGTCTTCTCTGTTAGAAATTTAATGACAGCTCATGAAAAAGGGCTGGCCAGATGGTTATTTTTAAGTTAGCCTGCACAATTTAAAAAAATTTTTTCTGCTTTTTAAATTGAAATAAAAATAGCGAAAAGAATGCTTTGAATAAATACTAGATAAAATAATTTGATTAAAAAAATTAGTAAAAAAAAAGCCATTTTTCATAAAAATGAACAAAGGTTTGTTGCAATTTAAAATAAAATGCTTTTAGATTATTGGCAAGCGCTTTTTTATGCATTCGCCAAATTTTTGCAGGGCGAGGGCGAAAAGAGTTAAGCGTAAAAGCGCTGGCTAAATGGAGATGACTTGCAGAGATTTAAAGTAATTTAAATTTAAAAACGATTTATGTTGAATAGAAATCTCCGTGCGAGAGAGCACGGAGATTTCTATTCAACATAAATGTGTGTGTGTATATATATGTGTGTGTATATATGTGTGTGTATATATATATATATACACACACACACACACATATATGTGTATATATATATATATATATATATATATATATATATATATATATATATATATATATATATATATATATATATATATATGCATATATATATATATATATATATATATATATATATATATATGCATATATATATATATATATATATATGCATATATATATATACACACACATATATATATATATACAAACACATACATATATAAATTACTAATTAAAACATGTTGAGTATACAAACATTGGGCAAAAAAATTAAAAATGTAAAAAAAAACCATAGTTTCTGTTAATTTTATATTAAATAATGCATATATATATATATATATATCAGGCCTTGTTAAGAGTCGTTACGCAGCTCGCATTTTACCTGCGAAATAGCGATTTGCCTACGCGTTCAGCAGTTTTGCGTTACGCAAAAACTTTAATATTTTAGAATATTTAAATTATCTTTTGATATCATTTATGTGACGTTTTTTCAAGAAAAAAATAAAGTCATAAATAAAAGCATTTAACCGCAATTGTAAACTAATAGATTTTTTGTTAAAGAAAAGTTTGTTTAATAATTTTTATTGTTGTTGTTAAAAATTAGTTTAAGAAAATAAAGTGTTTAAGTTTAAACTTTTTATCATATTTAATATTAAGTTTCATAAGTTTAAAAACATTCATTCACATGTAATGTTCATTTTCGCGATTTCGCGAGTTGTATGGAAAGGGAAAGGGTTAAATATGGAAACGCGTACGTACGCGTTTCCATTATACGTACGCGTTTCCGTTTCCAAATACCACTGTTTCATTCATTATTTACAAAAGCGTTTTATTCATTTTATAACTACAAGTTAGTAAATGACGTCAATACAAAAACATTCTCTTAAACTCGAGTTATAAATGTAATGTTTGGGTTTTCCATTTGCCTTTAAATTTTATGTAGAAGAATTTTTTTTATATCACAAACCAAAATTCAAAGCGAATAATAATAACGCGTTCAGTAAATAGGCTCTTTAAAAGGCCAACTTATATTTATTTTATTTTAAAAACAAAACTAATACTAGTGTTATTAACATAAGATACGCAAATTTCAAAATTATAATAATATTTGTTAAAAACAAATTCTTTCAATAAGTTTTTAAAACCGAAAACACTATTTTTCTTTTTGGATTTAGTAAAAAATAGTAAAAATACTTAAGGTTTTACCGTACATAAAAATAAAATATTTTAATGGAAATAAAAAAAAAACAAAGCCGGAAAGTGGTAATTTTCGTTTCATTAATTCATGTAAAGGGGAAAACCCAATATACGCTTTTAGTTGTAAGTACATTTAAATTCCTTTAAGAAAATCAACCATAAATAAGTGTCCCCTTATTTAAAAAAAACAACAACTCATAAAACAAATGTTTTAAAGCAAAAAAATTAAAATAAGGAAACTTTTTTTTTAAATCAACATTTAAACTTTATTATTTTTTTTAATAAGAATATTTTTTAATTTAAAGCTATTTCATTTCAAAGACTTACTATAATTTTTAATATCGTTTTAAATTTAATTTTTAAATTTAATTACAATGAGGTATTTAAAAAAACGCAACTGACGTAATTAATGTAAATATTTTTATTGAGTAAAGTTACATTTATTCTCGTTGCTCTTTTCCGTTACGCAGAGAAATCTCATAACAAGGCCTGATATATATATTATATTAGATATCATATATAGTGAAGGGGTGTCAATATGATTAGTTATAATATTATTATTTTTTTAGACATGGGGTGGTGTGGAAGCTGGATGCTCATTGAGTCAATGCTGTTCAGAGGTTAGTAAAGATTTTTTTATCAGCAAGGGTTTAGCCCTAATTAGTAACAAATAGCAACCAATAGTTTTGCTGGTTGCAGTATGTTACTTATCTATGGCAAGCTAGCTGATGGGGAAAGCACCAAATAAACACCATATATAATGGTGTTTATCAAGTGATATTTCCTTAAAATTCATTGATTCTGTTTTGCCTTTGACGCAATTTGTCACTTGCGTGATGTAACCATGTGTTATGTTATGATTGTTTATGATTTTGGTAACAGTTCCAAAATACAGTTTTGAAAATGGCAATATATTTGTATTAAGGTAACACTTTGACATATAGGGGTAACATTAACATGTGTTAGATTAAATATTTTTACCAGCTACCCGTTGACTATTTTCTTATCCACATAATAGTATAAATAACAAAACAATATGGCGGGCATAAATTAAGTCAATTTCTAGTTTTTTGATGTTGAAAAACTTTAGTTTAAATATTTTACATGTATTTTTATGATTTTATTTCTAAATACTAAGCATTTAAGATATTTTTTTCCCTTTTTTTTTTTAAGCATTTTTTTTTTAAATGTTTATAACTTAACCACTCCAAATTATGTTTAGACATTAGCATTAATGTTTTTTTTTTTCCTATTAGACCTTACATTATTGTATGCATACTTTTTATTTAGTAGTTGATATTTTGTTTTTAAGTTTTTATTTGGTGATATATTTGTTATATATCTTTGTTCATTTTAATTGTTTATAAAAGTTTTATTATTTTATTATTGTAAGTATTTAAATCTGAATAGAATAGATTGTTAGCAGATAAAAACTAGTACTATAATTTAACTGTTAAAAGGTAAATCATGATAAAAAGGGTAAAAAACCCATTATTTTATAGTTGAATTTCTAAATAGAACAGGCTGTTACAGCAAATAGAGCTACTTTAGATGTAAAATTTTTATGAAAATCGTTATTGTAGATAAAAAACAATACAGGAGCAAAGATAGAACTTTTAGATTACTTAAAATAAAGAAGAGTGTAGGCCTTCAAAAATTACTTTAAAGTTGTTCTTTAAAGGGATCCCTAAGTGCTCCTAACTCCTATATGATCTCATATATAAAGGGATCCCTAAGTGCTCCTAACTCCTATATGATCTCATATATAAAGGGATCCCTAAGTGCTCCTAACTCCTATATGATCTCATATATAAAGGGATCCCTAAGTGCTCCTAACATATGATCTCATATAAAAGAGCATAAAAAAAATTATGTAATTTTTTTTCTTTTCCAGTAAATTGTAATAATAAATGCATGCTAACAAAAAGCAATTTCCGAAATCACTGAAAAACAACTCCATTTTGATTTTATTTTTTTACCATTGAAACTCAATTGTTAGTCGTTAAAAATCATGTTAGTACGTCACAACAACTTTAAAATATCTACTTCGATTTTCAAGTTAAAAAAAGTCGTGATTAAATAGTTAAGTTTTAATCAAGTTTTTTTAGTTTTGCAAAAACAGTATAATAGAATCTGGTTGAAAGACGTCATTAAAAAAAAGTTATTAAGTAATACTTTCAAATAGTTTAGAACTTATAAAAAAAGTCTTACAGAGCTCGTATTAAGCGTATCGCGTTCGCAATTGCTTTTCACACTTTCGTGATTAGTTTTTTCTTAAAAAAAATCTTTTCGCGATTTTTTTTTTTTTTTTTTTTTTGTTGTTTGTTTACTTTTTTTCTAGCTTAGCAATTTTTTTAGCAATTCTTAAAAGTAATGTTTTTATCATAAAGAACGTCACACAAAATTTATTATTCTGAATAGATAGATGAATAGATGATTTGCTCTTTCGTGCGGAGATTTTCTTTCAACGTAAAACATTTTTGAATTTAAATTACTTTAAATCTCTGCGTGGAAAATTTTTACAAGGTCGTTAAAGCGAAAAGTTGAAAAGTTGGTTTTTATCTTTGTTTATCAAAACTTCATGTTTTAAATAAGGCTTAAAAACGTTAGAGCAAAAAATTTACTGACTTTTATTTGCATTTTTATACTGTTTGAAAAAAAAAACTAATAAAAAAGAATTAATTATTATTATTATTAATTCTTATAATTATTAATTAATATATTATTAGTTGTTTTTTTTCAAACAGTATAAAAATGCTAATAAAAACCAGCAATTTTTTTACTTTAACCTTTTTAAGCCTTATTTTAAACATGAAGTATAATTCGATTTATTAAACCAAATTTTGTTTTTTCCTTTTTTTATTGGAAAACTTGAAATAGAAAATTGAATAAAAGCATCAACCATTTAAATGAAAAACTTAATTATATTTAAACTTTTATTAGTCCTGAAAAGTTGGTTTTTATCTTTGTTTATCAAAACTTCATGTTTTAAATAAGGCTCAAAAACGTTAGAGCAAAAAATTACTGACTTTTATTTGCATTTTTATACTGTTTGAAAAAAAAAACTAATAAAAAAGAAATAATATATAATTATTTATTAATATATTATTAGTTAATTCTTTTTTATTAGTTTTTTTTAAACAGTATAAAAATGCTAATAAAAACCAGCAATTTTTTTACTTTAACCTTTTTAAGCCTTATTTTAAACATGAAGTATAATTCGATTTATTAAACCAAATTTTTTTTTTTCCTTTTTTTAATATTGGAAAACTTGAAATAGAAAATTGAATAAAAGCATCAACCATTTAAATGAAAAACTTAATTATATTTAAACTTTTATTAGTCCTTTATTCAAGTAACAATAAATTATAAAAATTGTGGTATCTAATTTTTTATCAAGTTTTTGACGATTTGATTTATTGACTATAATTTTTTAGCGATTTTATTACGATATTTCATATCGTAATAAAATCGCTATCAAAAAAATTTTTGTATGTAGCTATCAACCAGCTATAGATTTGTAAATATTTTGTAGCTAGCTACAAAGCTACGATATGTAGCTAGCGACACATTGCTACAAAATCGAAATGTTTAAAGTTCAATTATTCTCATAATTATAATAGACTCATCACTAAAAATCGATTTTTTAAAGATGTTAGAGACATTAGTAAAGAAAAAAATAAGAAAAAAAAAAATCGCTTAAAAATCGCTATAAAGCTAGCTAGTCGCTAGCTCATTTCCCACCGGGATGTGTCTACATCAATATTCATTTGTTAAAAACTGACTAAAAAGAGTTTAAAATTTGACTTCTATTCATTTTTGGCTGTGGAATTGCCCTTATAACACAAATATATAAATTAAAATTATAAAAAAATTTTAATATACAAATATATTTTCACAAAATGCTACAAAACTTATTCTTGTAAGTAATTATGTATTAGTTGAAAAAAAAACGACTTTACTTTTAATTTTAATTATCAACTAATAAGTTTGCAATAATGACATTTTGTTTACTTTGTTTAATTTGACGTACAAACGTTAGTTTTTTGAGGCAATAGAGTCAATAAACTTTTGACAAGACACATTTTTTTTAATCGAAGAAAAGCGTTTTTTTGAAAATTAAATTTTTTTAGTGTGTGTTCATTATTACGTTTTAGAAAAAATAATATACATCAAACATTTTTTTTTAATGCTCTTTCATATGAGATCATATCTTTATAGCACTTAGGGATCCCTTTAATGATTTGATAATCTTAAAAACTTAATATAAAGAAGCTAATAAGTGAGTGAAGACTAATCGAAGGATAGTTGGAGAGGTCAGTGTTTTCTAGAGTTATTAAAAATTGGAACCACTTATTTAGAACTTTTAAAAATTTAAGCAAAAATTGAAGAGAGTTCTGGAAAACTTTTTTTTAAGTTATAATAGAAATCTTGTCTGAAGCACAAACAATAGAAGTGTTTAATTGAGAATTAACTTTTAAGCCAGAGTGATTTGAATGTTTAACAATGGGTTACTTTGTTTAACTGGTATGACAGGAAGAATACGGCCATTAGATTCAAGAATTTAATGGCCATATTCTTGGCTATATTTCTAACATCTGAGAAAAGATACAAGATTTAGTAAACTGACAATAACAGAGTTTAATATCAGACAGACCTTTTTACATTGTTCTTGTAATAACGATAAAAATATTAATTGCTGTTTAATAAAGTGACTGCTCAAAATGGTGAAAAATGTGGAGAAGATTGAGGCTTGACTTGAAGAGAAGATGAGGAATTAAAGCTTCCAAACTTTTATTCCAGAAGGATTAATAGCTTCTAAAATGTGCATTAACAGTGTCTTCTAGCTGGAAAAACTAGAAAGACTTGTTTTTGGAAAACATGCTGAAAAAACTAGAAAATAATTTTTTCGAGCATCATTAAACCAATGGTGCTCAAAAAAAACATTTTCCAGTTTTTTAAGCATGAATGTTTATGCAGCCCTGATCACAAACCTGGCCCTCTTCAAATTTCAACCCTGATTGTTTACTAGTAGGCTGGTGTAAATTGAGATTTATGGCACAAAATATACTAATGTCAATGTTACCCTAATTTAGAGGGTAACATTTACAGTTGCATGTCAGCAACAAAATCAATTATATATCAATAAAATTTCATAACTAATTAAACTTTTTTTCAGTTAATGTCAGTAGTATTATTGGTATACACATAAAAATATTTCACATCAAAATAGTTTTGTCACTTTAAAAATATATTTTTTCTAAAGATGTGTCTGTTACACCACTTTATCCAATATATGTTTAAAAAATTAAAATTAGGCTTATTTGATTAGAATTATAATACTTACAAATTGTTTGTTAGGATATACCATCTGGTGCTGGACATCTATACTTTGAATATTATGGAGACTCAACTACTGACAATTCAAAGGTACATTTCATTTTATCTAAAAATTTTTGCAAATTTATTTTTAAAAATATTTTTCTTTTACAAAATATTTTTCTTATACAAGTTAATCTTCGTTTACAAAATATTTTTAGAGACATTGCATTGATTTAAAGAATGTTCACAATATGTCATCTAGTGTTGGTGAAATAATGGAAGATATTATGTTAACACATCGGTTGCCTGAAAACATGCAAGTAAGTTATTAATTTGAATTTATTTTATTTATCTTGCATTAACTTGCTACATGCAAAACTCATATTATATATATAATATGAGTTTTGCATGACTCTTAAGCCATTTATCTTATAAGGGTCTTTAAGGAAGAAAAAAAAAAATTCCTTTATTTTGAAAATGAAACCATAATGTGTTATTAAAACATATAAATATCTGTAAAAACTAAATAGATATCATGTCACCTAAATTGCTTTTAGTAATTGTATTTAATTAAAGTAGCTATATCAAGGACTGACTTGAGTGATTGCAAATCATGATGGTTTAAAAGGTATTTGTGATGGTGAAATTTTTAAAATGAAAAACTGATTCTTTACTGATTCTTTAAGAGCAATAAAAAAATATTGCTCTATAAGTTAAATGGTTTCTTCATTTCAAAATCTCCAACCTTGAAACTATTTAGTTTTAAATTTAATTATTGCTGGTATCACTGAGTACCAGATGATGGCTATGTATAATAGTTCTGTAGTTAATTACAAGATTAACTTTAGTAACCATCAAATTTAAAGGACATCAACTTATGTTCTAATCTGACATTAACAATTTTTTTGTACAATCAAGGTGTCAGCTAAATGGTTTTTATAAAAAAATTTTCTCATAATTTTTACAATTAAATCTATATTTGGAAAAAAAGTTCTTTTAATCTTTATTCTTAATTATTAAGATAAAATTTAGTATTCAAAATAAGTTGCTGTCAGTTAGTCAAATAACTAAAATTTCATATTCTTATAATTACAGTTCAAAATTTGATGTTGTAAAGAGTTATTATAAAAAAGTGTTTTCAAAACATGAAAATGATTATAAATGACTAAAGTAAAAAAAGCATCTGATTTGTGCTTTTAAATGAGCCTAAATTTTAAATTGTAACCCTAACCCTGAACATAAGTTCTTATGAATCCAGATACCCTTAAATTTCTCAAGCATAATTTTTTTTGTTTGATTTTTAAGCTATGTTTTTTAAACTATGTTACAAGTTTTATAAAACCAAAGTTTGTGAAGGCAAATTTTTTATTTATAAAGTTTTACATAATAAGTTTATAAAATTTATATAAAAATATTTTTCAATGCAAAATAATATTTTAATAACACTGGTTTACATGGGAAAAATAAAAGAAAATAGAATATGAATTTCTCAAAGTTTGTTAAAAATAATAAACTTTGATGTGCTTGGTTGGTTTGTATCATGTCAGGTTTTTAAGAAAACCTCATAAGTGTGTTTATATGGTTTATGCTTATATCATAAGTTTACTTTTGTCCTTATTCTGTCTCTCTCATGAGAATAATTTCATGACTAATTTTGACAGTACCAGGAACGGGAAAAGCCAATATTTATTACAAATGTACTATATAACCACTGACCATGATATGTGGTCCTGTCAGTAGGTTGTATGTGATCGAACAGTTATACGGTTACGTATTAAAATGAACGACAAGTTTAAATGAATGCTTTAATGATATTCTTTGTGTTTTTCAAATTTTTATAAGTTAATTTTAATTCCAAAATTGGATTTGCTATGCCAAGACATTGCACGAATTCACAGAGAGTTGCTGCTCTATCTGTGAACAATTTTATCCACAGACATAGAATTTTATCCATTGACACAAAATTGTGGCTGAGGAAAAGAAAATATCACACTTGACTAAGAAATATTATCATTTGCAGTTTGGATGTGAATTGGGTGACTAGAACGCAATATGTAAAGAATGACTCTTGGTGATTGGTTTAATGGTAATGTGAAAGTTATGCCATTTGGTGTGCATATGATTTAGCATGAGCTTTTAAATCATGTGATAGAGTGCTATTTTTGCATGGAGAATGTTGTTGGATTCAACAATAGATACAGGCGCAAGATTCAATGTACAGATGTGTCATCACCTCTGTGCGGCCTGTAGAACACTGATAATATTCCTGAGCTACTCCTCCTAATCAGTTAGTTGATATTGAAAGTGATGACAGCTCAAGTTTTGAAGAGAGTGGCAATGTTCATGATTCTAATTTTAATCGCAACAAAATTTTAGAATAATCTTAATGATCTTGGTCAAGGTTTCGAAAAGGCCTTGATCTTCCCAAGAAATCAGCTGAGCTACTTGCATCATGTTTACAAGAACAGAACCTTCTCACTAATGAAACTAGCGTAAGTCCGTACAGATATCATGAAACAGAATTTGTACAATTTATTTCAAGGAAGTAAGACTTGTTATATTATAACAATATGCTGCATGCATACAATGCTGCATCAACATCAATGTTGAATGATATATTAATCTATGTTAATCAGTAGAGAGTTATCGATTCATCAAGGCGGAGAAAGCAGTTCTTTTATTTAATGGAAACACAGTATCATCACTTCCAGTGGCACACTTAGTAACACTGAAAGAGAAGTATGAAAGCATAAAACTGTTGCCTAGTTCTTTAAATTATGGCTAGTACAAGTGGTTGATAAGTGGGGATTTATAGGTCATAACCATCATATTAGGGTTACAAAGAGGCTATGCGTAATTTCCATGTTTTTTGTACTCTGGGATAACTGAGTAGACTATTATGTCGAGCAAGAGTGGCCGCCAAAAAAAAATTTATGCTTAGAAGTTAGTGTCAAGTAACAGCCTTTGGTAGAAGCATATCAGGTTTTCCTTTCACCACTCCGTGTAAAATTAGGATTAATGAAAGCTTTTGCCAAGAGTATGGACCATAATGGCTCTGGATTTTCATATTTGTCAGACTAATTTCCACATATAAGTGAAGCAAAGTTCACCTCAGTATTATTGTTGGACTGCAGATTCAAGAAGTAATTAAAGATAAGGAGTTTACATTTAAGTTGGACACAGTTGAACTAAAAGCCTGGAATGCTTTTAAAGATGTTGTCAACAGTTTTTTAGGTAACTTTAAGTCAGAAAATTTTGACACGATAAAAAAATTATTTCATAATGAATAATCTCTTTTTGTTTATTTATTTTTTTATTCTTATTTCGTAATAACATTATAATAAAGAAATATTTTTTAAATGCGCTCAATGATTTTTACTATTTTTTTTATGTAAGTAAAATACAACTTAACCTAAAAAATGTTACTAAATTTAATTAAAACATAAGATTTATCAAAAATTTGATTAGTATAATTGTATTTTGTGTGGGCTTTTTTTTGCCTGTGTAAACTAAATTACATGAATTTAAATGCGGGTGCAGATGATTGCTCTCCACTCCTGCTGAGGCCTGCATTTGATTAATGCTTGAAGTTATTGTATTTATTTTTAGATGATATTTTATCACCGTTTAAGACTCGCTTATTCAATGGCTGTAAAAGAAAAACGGTTACAATTTGTTCAAGCAAGATTACAGGCAATATCTATTTTAGGTATTTATCATTCTGTTAAACCAAAAGCATCTAGTTATAAAATGAAATTTGTTATTTTTATATGAATTAAACCATATTGTTTATACAAGTATATATTTTAGTATACTCCAATGCCACCTCACATGTTAATTTCATTGTATATGATGGTCTTATTGAAGAAATTGTGAATACATTAAAGTTGTTAGATGAAAACAAAAAATTATCTGTAAGACTTTTTGTTTTTGTTGTTGTTGTTTCTTTGCTTTTGTATTTATTATTATATCTAATCTATTTATGAGCCACCCTTTTTCTGTAACTTACCAATCCCTTTTAATTTTATATAATTATCCTAAGAGTAGTTAATTTTAAGAAATAATATATAATTAAAGAAATTAAATTATAACATTTTAAATCACTCATTTTCCAAACATTTTATTTTCCATTGATCCAATAGATACTATAATCACAAAATAATACAAGAATATATTTTATATATCTTTGTATTAGTTTTTCAAATTTTTATCAGTAATAAACAAGAAAATTTTGATACAGAAAGTAGAGTTAGTCTGTAATTAGTTTTCCAAATTTCCATCAGTAATAAACAAGAAAATTTTGATACAGAAAGTAGAGTTGGTCTGTAATTAGTTCTGTGATATTTCTAGAGGGAAGACAGAACAAAAAATGCTAACTGTGAAATCAATTTACATCAATTGCTAGACATTACATTCTGTAATTGTGAAATTACCTTATGAAATGAGGAAAAATTAAATAGTTATCTAAATCATGTACATATTCTGAGGAGAAATTAAATTCCAAAATGTGTTGATTTGATGAATCTTGAATAATTCCAAAATGTGTTGATTTGATGAATCTTGAATAATTGTTATATAGAAAGTCTATGTGTATATCTGGTCTATGTGTATGTTATATTGCAATAAGCTACTTTTTTTGAGGGTTTGGGGTATGTTATTTTTACTCTAGATTGTCTCACCAAACTAGATTGACTCATTCAAAGGATGGTGTCACTGGTCCAATTGAAAAAAATATATATATATTTTTTTATGAGTGATTTTCTCTATTTAAACTGTGATGAAAGTGAATGGGAGGGAGTAACTAGATTTGAACTTATTGCACATTTATAACCATAATTTCAAGTTTCTGTATCCCTAAGATATTTTACTTAATCGTAAAATGGATAGTTGAAGTGTATTTTCACATAAACCTAAAGTGAAACATGGTATTGTTGAGGGTCAATAGTACCACTTTTATGACCGCTGAGTCTGCAATTGGATAAGATAAAATAAATTTTCATTCCCTATTTCTATTTCCCTCCAAAATAAAAGTAATTTTTTCTCATTTTGGATCTTTGATTTTTACTCTTAAAGCAAATTCAGATAAGGAATCTGCCATTAAGGCCATCAAAGAGGTAGAGAAATGTTCTGAGTTTAGAGATAGTTGAGTCAGGTTAAGGAAGAAGGTCAAACTCAATCTGGGCGCATTGTCTGGAATGATACTAATCTAATAAGACAATAAAGATATATTAGTATCTGTTTACTTGTCATATACTTACAAAAGATTTATGCAAGTTTTAGAAGAACCTTATTTTCCTTCTACACAGTCTTGTGAAAAAGCAGAAAAAAGTTTTCAGAGGTATCTGCTAAAAGTTGGTAAATCTCAAAGAACAGGTGGGCTTGTCAGATCAAAGATGACTTATAGCCAAGTAATTTTTAAACTATGTTCAAAATAAAAATAATTTGAAAGACACCAGAATCTTATTATTTGTACTTGAATATTGATTATTTGTAAATATGTATTTAAACGTGAATATATTTCTTCAAATGAATAGATAATTTTGATCCATCATTGCTATTGTTTTCTGAATTTTTTTCTCATCTGTTTAGATTTAAAATAAAATTTTATAATAAAATGTACATGCCAGTTTAGTGAAACAAATTTTTTCTTTGTATTGACCCTCTTGAGAAATCTCTTAATAATCATTATAACCATGTATGTTGTAATCATGTAGTAACATGATACTCAAATCTAGCACTTTTTTCAATTCAACACACTGCATAAAATAAATCATGTAAAATTTGTTTCTCTATTTACTTTGTGGTCAAAACTCTATTTACTTTGTGTGTCAAAACTTATTTACTTTAAAGTTAAACTAAAATGTATTAATTTATGCATCATAACCAGGGTGTTAGCCAGGAATATATTTTTTACCACAATATTGGGAATTTTTATAATTATTTAATAATTAATTTGTTATAAAGGTTATCTTCATCTTGAAATTTTTTTAGGATGTAAAAGCTTCATGTCTAAAGACATTAACAGCAATTATACACTTAGATAGAAATCCAAGACTTCAAGCTATTATTGAATGCACAGGAGCAACATCTTATCATGGGTTTTTACCATCTCTGGTTCGTCAGTGTATACTTCATATGACAAGTATGTTTTATATATATATATATATATATATATATATATATATATATATATATATATATATATATATATATATATATATATATATATATATATATACATATATATATATATATATATATATATATATATATATATACATATATATATATATATATATATATATATATATATATATATATATATATATATATATATATATATATATATATATATATATATATATATATATATATATATATATATATATATATATATATATATATATCAAAATTTCCTTTCAATTTTTGTTTAAATTAAAAAAAAAAAAGTTAGGTTCCCTTTAATTTTTTGATGCTTTCAGACAATTTAGTGTAAACTTTTTTTTAGCTTTAAAGGGATCCCAAACTCCCAACACATGTTGTGTTCATATTAAAGATAATGTTAAAAAAAATGGTTTGAACCAAATATTTTTGATTAAAAATAAATAATGTATGCATACGGTGAAAAACAAATGTTGTTGTTTTTGCTGAAGCTCGTTTTCTCCATTTTTTTCAACCACTCGGTGTCTTCAAATTGCCACTAGGTTTAAATACTCGGTGTCTTCAAATTGTCTTCAAATTTTTTTCAACCACTCGGTGTCTTCAAATTTTTTTCAACCACTCGGTGTCTTCAAATTGTCTTCAAATTTTTTTCAACCACTCGGTGTCTTCAAATATGCGTCGCAATCTACAGACTTTGGCAATACCTTTGAAGCGTGTTTAATTCATAAAAGTTTTAGTATTTGATGTCACTGTAGACTTTTAACAAGTGAAACTCTAGAAATATTTTTATTTATTTTTATTCAAAATTTTTTTGATTTGTTTAGTTGTTTTTTTTTCCATTTTTAACATTTAAAAAGATATTAAAAACCTCAAATATTTTATGTTGGTTTGTTGCTATAAATTTTTATTGCGCTGTATATTTAATGTTTATAAATTATGAATATTTATTATCTCAAAAATTGTTTTACATTAATTACCCATATAAAATTAGTAACAGCTTTTTTATTTGGTTAGACGATATTTCATTTCAATTTGCTTTGCATGAAGTTCGGAAAATCAAACGAAAAAAATTAGTTTAAATAATCACGTCGAAATATATTTAAAACAAATTATTTTTTTTATTAACGGGGGTTCTAAAGTTTTTTATAACAATTGTAGGTAAAAAAATAAATAAATAACTAAATAAAAAGTTCAGTATTAAACACCATTTCTTTATTATATTGCAACTGTAAATATTGAATTATTAACTTGAGCTAAATTTACTTATTATTTAGAACGACTAACCAATAAAAATAAAATTCCCCTAAAATTATGCGAGATTGTGTTGTTTATTTGATAATTGTTGTTGGTAATGTTGTTTATGTTGGTTATTTTCATAAATATCAAAATAATTCCAGATTAATCTGTTCGTTGCTTTGCTCATTGTTGATTTATTTCTAATTTAATTTTATCTCAAACTATAATTGTATGTTAAAAAAGAAAAGTTTTTATTTCATCGGGCGCTTATTTTATAAAAGAGTAGAACAAAAGAGAAAGAAAAGTTTCCAGCAATTAAACTTTGAATGAATAAGAGTTGTATAGAATATATATATATATATTTTTTTGCGTCACTTGTTCTTTTTTTAGATGAGAGAAATAAAAGTTTATTTTAATTTTCTTTGAATAAATAAGAATTGGAAGAGAAAATTGCTTGAAAATTTGTATTTGTTAATTGTGTTTTTAAAAATTTTTAATTTTTTATGTTAAGAGACAAATGCCAATTACGACACAAATTTGGAAATACCAGATATAGTATATTTTTTAATTCGCGTTATGACATTTTAACAACTTAAATTACCATCTATCTTGAATTATTGCCTTTAATTAATGTGTTAATTATTGCGTTATTTAATGATAATTTGTCCGTATTTTTGTTAAATATTAGTTGTATAAAACGGGCGAAAATATACAAACTTCATGTTTTTTATTTGATGGTTGTAAAATATTGAACAGTAAACTTATAATCAAAATTTATAATGCCGACTTGTGTTGCAATTAATTGTACTTTTAATGCAAAATCAGGATCTCACATATCCTTTCACGAATTTTCATATCTGATACTACTGTCAACTGTATTGTTTAGTGTATTCTTGTACTTTTTTTTTATAATCTTAACAGGTTCTAATTGGTATGGAGTTGCTGACATTTTAAAAATTTCATTATCAAAAATCAAATGTAAAATAAAATGGTATTTCCTTTTTATCCGTATCCAATTCAGCAAATTTAGCACTTTAAATTAAATCAGCGTGATCAAAAAAATTTAATAATAAAAAAGTTAACAATTCATTAAATATCTCTAATTAATACTGTCAGTTTATGAAAGTAATTGTTAATAAATACTTTTTTTCAACGGGAAAACAAAAAATTGTCATAGCGTAAAAATAACCAGAGAAGTTAGAAAATAGTTCCCATTGTTTAAATAAAAATAATTAAGAATCAGAATATATAATACTGCGCTCTCTTGCGCAAAAATGAGACCGTATATAAAACGTTCTATATAATGTAAAATACTTGTATGAAAATCATAAGATTGGTAAGTAAAGCTTTAATATTTGTCTTAATTTAAATAGTTAAAGAAATATAAGTAAGATATATAAATCTGAAAATTATTAAGATATCTGTAAAAAATAAGTTGCTCCTATAAAATAAAAATAATTTATTGTTTTTACTTTTTACAAAATTTTTTTTGCAATGTTTAGAAAAAATAATACAAATAAATTTGTTTTGCTGTATGTTAAAAAAATACTACTGTAGAAAAACGCAGCTTAGTTTTACTTACACTTTTCTTTTGTTAAAAGTCTACCGTGACGTCAAATACTAAAACTTTTATGAATTAAACGCGCTTCAAAGGAATTGCCAAAGTCTGTACATTGCGACGCATAATTTGAAGACTCCGAGTAGTTGAAAAAAATGGAGAAGACGAGCTTCGGCAAAAACAACATTTGTTTTTCCCCGTATGCATTCATTATTTATTTTTAATCAAAAAAATTTGGTTCAAACCTTTTTTTTTTACATTATCCTTAATATGAACTCAACATGTGTTGGGAGTTTGGGATCCCTTTAAAATTATTTAACTTTAGAGTAACACAGTATGATTTTATGTTTTTACTTATGTAATATTTGAAAAATATTTTTGATATATAGATCCAGACCTTGAGCCATTCACGCAGTCTTTGTCTACTGCATTGTTTTCATTTTTATATCACCTTGCAAGTTATGAATCAGGATGTGAAGCTTTAGTTTCTTCTGGCCTAATCGAATCTCTACTAAAGGTTGTTGTCTGGCCTGGTGAAAATGAACATATTACTGTAAGTTTTAAAATTTTATTTAAATTAAATTGGAGTCAATTTATGATTTTTCAATGAATATAGTCTTTTATGTTTTATTTTTTTTTCTTGAAATCTCAACTATATTAAACTATAACCTAATAAATTTTATTTTAAAATGTATATTTATTTTTAAAATATGTTTTGCCAAATTAATAAAATGGTTTATAAAAGGTTTTTTTTAATTAGTTTGTTTTTTAATTTATTTTTTAAATAGACAAATGAAAGTTTAACAACTTGTTTTTAATTTATTTGTGTTGTTTAAACAGTTTGTCACTAGAGCTGTTCGTGTTATTGATCTTATAACAAATTTGGATATGGCTGCTTTTCAAACACATAATGGATTGGATGCTCTTGTAGGACGGTTGCAGGTTATTTTAACAATTTTTAGCTAAATTTTTAGATATTTAAAGTTTATTATTTTAAAAAAAGTTTATAAAAAAGTTCATGAGTTGCATTTTTGTTTTATTTTTTATTTTAAAAAATAAATTGAAAATAAAAAATATTTTGACATGAATATTTTTTTTTAATTTGGCATTTGGGAACTGTTTTTAGCGTGAGGTACTTTTGTGCAGTAAACATCATGGTCCTTCTCTTTCTAATGAACTACCAAGTTCTACATCTGATGTTACAGCTGATTTTATGCAAGCCTCTTTAAATACTACTGTTGCTGCTTCAAGCTCATCTGATGTTGAAATGAAAGGTTTTTTATTTTATTTTTATAGTTTTGATGTTGTTTAATTTTTATAATTCAATCAGTGGATGTGCTAATAGTCAACCCTCGGAATTAGGGTCGGCATTCGGCAAAGCCAACCTAACTGCCGACCTGAAAATGTTTGAGGTTGGCAAAAAATTGCCAAACCTGTTTCTATGTTTTGTTGTTAGACCTTTGTATCAAATAATTTTTGCCGACCTGATGCCAACCTCAAAAAGTATGAGTTAGGCAAATTATTGCTGACCTCATTTTTCATAATTCCGATGGTTAGATAGTCTATCTATTATATATTAACATATATATGTTTGTGTTTGTGTGTGTGTGTGTATATATATTTATATATTTTTATATATATATTATTTGTTATATAAAATATAATATATATTTATATATATATCAGGGCTCAAGTTAAGCATATCACGATTAGTTTTTTCCTAAAAAACTGATTTTGTGTGTTTCTCTTTTGTGTTTCAAACATAAAATTGCCATCATGTAGATATTTATTAGGAAATTGAAAATTAAACATTAAAAAAATGTTTAATTTTTAATTTAAAAATATTTAAACAAAATTTAATGCAACTAGGGGCTATTATAGACTTCTTTCAGCATCAAACACTAAATTCTTCTGGGACAGGGAGTACTGCGGTCCAAATTTTTTCCCTCGGATAGCCTCTGGTAGCATTAAAATTATAACTAGTTCATATTTATACCACTTAATGGTTAAAAAAGTTGATAAAAAGTAAGAATCCCCCTTTTTAATATTTTAAAATTGTCATTTAATACAAGAAATACTCCAACAACATGCAAGTCTCTGTACCTTGTTTTTTTCTGAACAAGGTAAAGTAAGGAAAATGTGAACAAAATTTTAAAATATGTTTGTATATTTGATGCAAGATTTATAAGATATGCAAGTATATTTGATAGGTTTAAACCAAATGGTTTAAACCAATCAAAAAAATATCAATTTAAACCAAACTAATTTTTTGTTGAAAATAATAAAATCAATTGGAGTTGTTCTAGATAAGTTGCAAACAGATAAAACAAAAAGAAATGGCACTGTTGACATTTTTAAAGAGATGATAATCATGTTTTCATTTTTAACAACTAAAAAAAGATATTGGAAACTAGATATCTTCAGTCTGTCAGTGATGCTTATTTCTTTGGAAACATGCTAGATCCAAGATATTTTGTATCTAATCTTTTTGAAAATGAAAATAAGCTGCAATGATCTTTGCAGATAAAAAATTTAAGAACTTATTACCAATAATATTCAAGTTAAAAGCCAAATCTGCTCCATTCAATAAAAACTATTCGTATAGTAAATCTGTTTAAAAAAATGTATTACCAATGGTGAAGATCTCTAAAATCATTGGGCTGAAACATTACTATAGATATTTAAGATTTGTTAAACACTTCTTATGCTGGAATTGAAAAAGTTTTTTTGACTTTTGGGCTTGTCCATTCCAAGCTAAGAAACAAGATAGGAGTAGAAAAAGCGGCAAAGTTTGTTTTATATACAGAACATTAAATAATAGTGTATTAGTTGATGAATGAATTAATTAGTAAAATAGCTAAACATGTTTTTTTTCAAAAAAAAGGATTTTAAATAAAAAAAAAACTTTTTTTTTTTTTTTTTTTTTTTTTAAATTATGGGAAAAAAAAAAAAAAAACATAAAGCATTTGTTATTTAAACATAAACTTAAAAACTTTTTAAATGAAAAAATTACTTATACTTACATATTTTTATTAGTACAAGATCAAAAAGCTATAAATTAGAATGAGCTTGATATCTAAAAACTTAAGTTTTTTTTAGTTTACTCATTTGTTTTTTCAAATTGATCATGTTTCAAATTGATCATGTTTCAAATTGATCTTGTTTCATTGATAGATACAGGATGTTTTTGCAAAAGTATTGATTTAAAAATTTTATTACGTTAATATTGTCGTTAATTCTAATTTGTTAATTAGAATAATTTTTTTTTATTTATATTGTTTTATTTTAAATGGGTTTTATGTTATGTTATTAATTGTTAAAAATAGCAATAATGTATTATTGCTATTTTTATTATTACAACTTTGCATTTGTATTGACAAAACAATTTCACAATATGTTGTTTTAGTGTTATTTTGTATGACTTTTTACTATAACAATTTAATACGCTTTAAGTATAAAATATGTTAAAGCGAAGATTATTTTTCCAAACACCATTTATTAAAGTTATATCGCTGTATATACCATTTATTAAAAATGTAAATTATATATTTATTATGATCTTTGCTTCAAGCTTGAATTATAAATATTTTAAAGCAAAAAATCAAACATTACAAAAAAATAAAAATAAAAACAAAGTAAAGAATCATAATATAAAATAAAGATGATATAAAATAAATTTTTTTTTCTTGTTATTTTTTAAGTTAATTATTTTTTATTGCAATTAAAAGATTTAAGAATATTTTAGTGCTCGCAAAGATGATAAATAAAAGTTTTAATTATATATTTCATTTAGGGGTTGTCTACCAAAAATGTAACTCAAGTTTTGACAATTTTAGACCCCTTAACTTTTTAGACCTAACTTTTTGACATAATTTAGTCATCTATTTGATCAGTGGTCTTGCAGTTTTGTCCTCACCCACGTACCCGACAATACTGCAGCTGGCGCTTTTTTAAGCGCTTGCCGAAAAATTTCAAGAGTGTTTTTAAATTGCAACAAATCTTTTTTCTTTTGTACCTCTATAATTAGAATCAAATTCAAAATAAAAGACAAAATCGAAATATTTTTTTAAATTGCGCACGCCAGACAAATAATTACTATCTGGCCAGCGCTTTTTCGTGTGCTGGCAATAAATTTTAAACAGAGATTGATAATTCAAAGTCTAATAACTTTGTATACAAAAAAAAAAGTAATTATTTATAAATTTAATTACTTCTTTTATCATACCTCTTATCGACTAATTTAAAAGTAAAATAATGATTGCTTAAAAAATTCGCTTAATGGAAACTGCTTTAGGAGTAGGCAAAGTATATATATATATATATATATATATATATATATATATATATATATATATATATATATATATATATATATATATATATATATATATATATATTTATATTAAAAATAAATTATTTTTATACCATTTACATTATTTTACATTGTATATCAAAAATAAATTAAATGCGGTAGTGGTGTAGTGGTAGAGCGCTCGCTTCTTAAACAAGTGGTTCTGAGTTCGATCCCCACCACGTCCCTGGTAGTAATGCGCTCAACTCGCTTCTCCACGCAGCGGCCTTATTCGTCAAGGTTCGTGTTTCGGAGTTATAGAGTTGAGAGAGGGTTATAACCACAAATAAGTAGCCTCCTCGTCTGTAGTGGCCTTCTCAGCCTTGAGGAGGTGAATTAAATTAGGAAAAAAAAAAAAAAAAAAAGTTATTCGCATTGACTTTTTTAATGTTAGCAATTAAAATTTTTATGTTAACATAAACAAACATTTTTTTTATGTGTTTTGTTATAAATCTTGTTTTTATACTGTTTAATTTTTATTTTTTTTCATAACATTTTTTTTTTAAACTTTTAGAATCATATGGTCAAAATCGTGCTAAACCGAGTGGTTCTCAACAGCAGTGTCTGCCTCAAAGGGCAGCTCTGTTAAAATCTATTTTAAATTTTTTAAAAAAAGCTATTCCAGATCCTGCTTTTGCTGAATATACTCGGACATTAATGGATGAAAATCTTCAAGATTCATTAAAAATGATCATTAGTAATGCAGAGTATTATGGTGCTTTGCTATTCTTACTTGGTATTTATTTGATTTTACTTGATGTCTATTTGATTTTGTAAATATTCATTAAACTCTCACTAAGTTTTTATTATTTTTTTTTCTTTTTTTTTTTTTGTTATTACTATGGTATTATTTGTGTTTTTAATGAGAGAAAATTTGTTTTTAATGAGAGAAAATTTGTGTTTTTAATGTCCACTAAATTTGAAAAACAAACAACCCGAAAATTCTGAGGTCTGCATTTTGACCTCATGTCACAATTTAAATTAATGTCACAATTTAATAAGTTAAAGAGTTTTGTTATATTGTTTATTAGGTTAAGTTTTGATGTTACAGTGTACAGATGTCTGCATAATTTTACAAATTAGTAAAATTGCAACAACAAATATTTTCTGATAGGGTTGAGATATCTACCTTAGTAGGAAACAAAAGCAAGTTCTTAAACTTATTCGATTTAAAATTAAATTTATAATTTTCTTAATTATCAAATGGCATGTAAAAAATATGTTTAAAATGTTAAAATTAATTGTTTAACTTGAAACTCTATAAAGTGCTTTAACTTAATCAGTCATACAGTATGATTTTTACATATTGAGTCTAATTAAGTTTTTTTTTATGTCTTATTTTTATTTATTATTATTATTTTTTTCTTATAGTCTTGTTTTGTTTTCTTTTTTAAATAGTATTTCTGGTTATGTCTTTATTTAATCAATCTTTCTTGATAATATCTAATTTTTTTTTGCCTTTTACTTATGCAAAGTTTAAGTAAAAGTAATATGTTTTGTTAACATAATATACTTGTTTATCAAGAGAGCTTTTTATGCGTGGTTAACAAATAAGTATGAATGTCTGAGCCCACTTAATTGGCTTACAACTAAAATTTTAAAATTTTATATGAACAAGTAATTTTGACAAACATTAAAAAACAAAAGCTTTATGTATTAGTGAAGTTGAAAGTTTTTTTTTATTATTATTAATTCAGTTCTTCATATGTAGAACTTATTGTAGCGTGGTGTAAAATGTACAGGGGAATCATCTGTAATAAATTATTCTTTTTGCAGCTAATAATAGATATTGATAGCCCATCTTTAGAAGATTTTATTTTTCAATAATCAGTTGAACACTAGCTTCTTAAGCGAAGTATAAAAAAAAAATAGATAAAATTAACAAAACAAAATGGCCTGGCTGCATTGACTAAAAATAATGCAAAAATGCAATGACCCAAAGCGATGAGAAACTACCGTTGTTAAATTATTTCATAATGATCTTTTGAAAAGGATATTTATAGCAACATTCTCAGCATACAATAGCATATTGGCCAGAGTTTTTCACTAAAATAATCTTGATACACTTTTGAACATATACTCTGCTGTTTTTACCTCTAAATTGCATGCCTATGTGAGCAATTCTACCAACAAGCTCCTATAAGGTTATCTCAAAACAAGCATTTTAAGATAATATATTTCTAGGATTTTAATTCCAATATATTTACCTAACTTCTAAATTTGTTTAAGCTCTCAAACTGACAGTTTTTTTAGAAAAGACATTTACTCTAACTTTTTTTTTTGTTAAATTTGTCTGCAGTTGTTGTTATCTTCAAATCAATAGTAATTTAAATCTATTTATCTCAAAACACCTCTCAAACAACTATGAACATAAATCAATCTTTTCAATGAACTAAAAGCTATATTTCTAATGAACTGAAAACTCTATTTATTCTTAACTTCTATTCCTAACTTGTTTTTGTACATACATCAATCTTAATAGGTAGAACATACATACATAGGAGGAATATACATACATCAACTGACTTGGATAGGTAAGACATGCAAGCAGTAATTGCTTGCATGTCCTACCTTTTTCTAGTGAGGAATAGGCATACATCAGTTATTAGTTAAATATCGTTTATGTTACAAATAACATTCTCAAGGTAAAATGACAAGTTCAAATGTTTAAATGACATTCCAAGTGGTAAAGTATCGTTATTCATGAGGTAAAATGACAAGATTTTACTCTAGTAAAATTTAATTTAAAAAAAAATGCTAATTACAAGGTGAAATTCTAATTTCACGTTGTAAAATACTGGGATTGAGAAGGAAAAAATTGTTATTATTATTATTACTACTATTGATATCATATTATTATTATTTTCATTAATGGTAATATTGTTTTCATAGCAACAGATGTTATTTATATTGTTTTATTTATTTTTGTTAATGTTAATATTGTTCTTATAGCAACGGATGTTGTTACAGTCTTCATATTTCATGAGCCATCTCTTCTATCAAGCCTGCAAGATACTGGTTTAACATGGGTTGTTTTAAAAGCACTACTTCTAAAAGATGTAAATTTTTGCTATGATTGTGCATTTTAGGGTGAACTATGTAAATTTTAACTGAGTTTTTTAACTGTAAAAGTATTAACTCTTTATTTTAAAACTGTTATTTTTTTAAATTTATTTTAAATTCATTAAACTTTTTAGGTTCCTGCAACTCGTGAAAATCTTGCATCTCTACCAAATACTCTAAGTGCTTTATGCCTTAACACGCGTGGTTTAAATGCATTTGTTTCTTGTGCCCCATTTGAAAAGTTATTTCGTATTCTTGTTATACCGGAATATTTGCCAGCAATGAAAAGACGGCGAAGTGCTGATCCCCAAGGTTTATTTTTGTGAAATAGTTATCAGTTTGTGAAAGTATTATAATAAATTTGAATTGTTAATAATTTTTTATCGGTTGAAAGTTTTTTTAAGTTAGATACACTGTATAGAGGAAATAATTTTCTCTTTTTTAACAATTGCATTACAATTGTTAATAAATTGATTAATATCCTTTATTATTTTTAGCATTGATTAATATCAAATTAATCAATATTAATCAATTGTTAATTGATTAATATCAATTAACAATTGCGTTGATTAATATCCTAATTATCAAGTGTTAGTTAATGTTTATGTTTTTAATGAAGATACAAATAATATTATTTTGTAATTTTCATTTTTACTACATGCAGTTTACAATAGATTTGTTCTTGCTGTTGTGCTAATTTTGTTGTATTTTACCAATAATATTTATTTATGATTGTATTTAGGTGACACAGCAATGCATCTTGGATCAGCCATGGATGAACTGATGAGACATCAGCCCACATTAAAAACTGATGCTATGAAAGCTATAATTAAGGTGATTATTAATTTACAAAATTATAATTTTTCTATTAATGATGTTTAGGGGAGTCCAAAACTTTTACTGAAACCACTTATCAGGGGTATACCCTTGCGTTACATTTCATCGCCTATGCTCAAGTGTTAAAATATCAATTTATAACTCCTTATACTGTTTATACTCCTAATAACTTATAAATTTATAAGTTTAAATGTTCCATTAAATAATATAAAAAATAAACTTTTTTTGTAAGGTTTTAAATGTTTTAAATTTGATAATATATGTTTAGGCAGTAATATATGTTGAGGCAGTTAATATAGGTTTCATAATGTAATGGTCATAAGACCATTGTAGATTTTTGATCCATTTTATTCAACATTCTGCAGTGAATATTGTTTGTAAACAAGTAAAAGGCTTACTTTGGTTTAAATTTTTTTCCTGTATCTAATTTACTAACTTTCTAAAAATCAGCTTTTTCCTAAGCTCTGTGCAAATCTAAAAACATATTTTAGATTTGCACATACTTTAATTCATACTGTAATATTTGTTGCTTCCATCTAGCTAAACCATCTATTATCTTTTTCTTTTTTTTTATAAATTTAAATAAAACCTAAAGATAAAGTTTGTGCTCTATAAATGCAAGTTTAAAAAATTTATCCAACAACTTTATTATTTATTATTTATTGGAAATAAATAGTTTTTGTTATAAAGTTTTATTGTTGGCTCATTTAATATGTGACTTTCATACATTTGTTATATTTGGGTTGCCCTTTATCTTTTTTTGTTTTATATTGATAATTTTTGAAAATTAATTATGTTTGCATAAATTTTTAACATTATTTTGCCATAACAAAGGCTTTTGTAAAACGATTTATTGCTCCTTTATAGTTTTTTTTTTTTAGCTTATCTGTAATTGACTGACCTTTTCTTTTTTCTTTTTTTAACTGGCAAAATTCAAAAGAAAAAAATAGGCAACTCTAGTTAAAAGATGTTTTTTTTATTAAATTTAAAATTAACTAAAAAAATAAATAAAATTAAAACCAATATTCAGCAAAGATTAAAAATAAAAAATCAATTTAAACAATAGAATTTTAAAATAATAATAATAATAATATCATTTTAAGTCCGCTTTGATTTTGATTTCAAAGACTGTTTTTTTTTTTTTTTTTTTTTAAACATCTTCACTTCCAACAAGGCTGCAAGCAACCACTATAAGAGTTGGAAGTTACTGGAAGAGAAAAGACTAAATCTGTAGAGCAAGATAACGATTGACTGATGACTTAAAAGATTGCAAATTATATGAATCAGGAAAGCAAGATGAAGGAAGCGAATTCCAAAGAACTGATGTTCGAGGAAAAAAACTAGAAGAATAAGAGTTTTTGAAGCACTTAGGAACAGTCACAGAAAAAGGATGAGACTTAATTGAATGGCGAGTAACACGAGAATGAATTTTAGTAGATGGATTTAAGCTTAATTTTATTTTCCACAGCTTATATCAGTCATAAACATTTATTTAATTATAACTTAGTATTAAAAGGGCCATCCCAAAGAGATTTAAAAGGGGGGGGGGTGCTGGGTCTGTATTTTGCCGACTTTAGCCAAAAAAATTTTTTTGCCTACTAACTTATCTTTAAAGGGATCCCTAAGTGCTATAGAGATAT